AAAATTCAAAAATTTCAAAAATTTCAAAAATTTCAAAAATTTCAAAAATTTCAAAAATTTCAAAAATTTCAAAAATTTCAAAAATTTCAAAAATTTCAAAAATTTCAAAAATTTCAAAAATTTCAAAAATTTCAAAAATTTCAAAAATTTCAAAAATTTCAAAAATTTCAAAAATTTCAAAAATTTCAAAAATTTCAAAAATTTCAAAAATTTCAAAAATTTCAAAAATTTCAAAAATTTCAAAAATTTCAAAAATTTCAAAAATTTCAAAAATTTCAAAAATTTCAAAAATTTCAAAAATTTCAAAAATTTCAAAAATTTCAAAAATTTCAAAAATTTCAAAAATTTCAAAAATTTCAAAAATTTCAAAAATTTCAAAAATTTCAAAAATTTCAAAAATTTCAAAAATTTCAAAAATTTCAAAAATTTCAAAAATTTCAAATTTGACAAATTTAAACGAAATTGAGAACCACTCCCCCTTTTTCCGTAAAAATTCGTCATTTCCCTTAAATGCAGAGATATTTTTGAAAAACCCGCCAACTCAATTTTTTTGGTTATCAATTTTCAATGCATCTTTCCTCCCCGTCCCTACATTTGAGTAAAAATTCGCTATCTCCCTTAGTTTCGCAGATATTTTGAAAAACCCGCCAACTCAATTTTTTTGGCTGCCAATTTTCAATGCACCCCCCCTCCCGCCCCAAAATTTTCGTAAAAATTCGCTATTCCCCTTAGTTTTGGAAATATTTTCGAAAAAATCAAATACTTAATTTTTTTGGTTATGAATTCTCAATTCACAACCCTCCTTCTCCCTCTTTGCAAAATCTGAATGTGTACTGAATTCTTGATGTACATCCTCATCCCCCCATGTATGAGGCTCCTCAAGGGGACCTCATCAACAATGTACATCGAGAATTTAGGAACAAATCGATTTGCATCAAACCGAAAAAAAGTTTTTAATCAAACCGAAAATTCGGTCTGAATCAAACCGAAAATTCGGTCTGAATGAAACCAAAAATTCGGTTTGAATCAAACCGACAAATCGGTTTAAATCAAACCGAAAAATCGGTCTGAATCAAACCGAAAAATCGCTTTGAATCACACCGAAAAATCGGTTTGAATCAAACCGAAAATCGGTCTGAATCAAACCGAAGTAGATCTGATTCGAGCAGATTTTTCGACTTGATTCAGACCGATATTCTGGTTTGCATCTGTCCGAGTTCGACTTGATTCATGCCGTCAATTCGACATGAAACAAGTCGATTCCCGGCATGATTCAGTCTGACTTGATTCAGACCGATTTTTCGGTCCGATTCAGACCGACATTTTTGGGTGTTCTAAGTCTCTTAATCGTGACACCGTAGCCGTTCATCTATTCCTTGGAAGTCATTCACCGTTTGAAAAGTACATAGTCAAATCAATAAAATAATTTATTTTCCGGACGGTGCCAGGTTTCAATACGAAAATAAAAAAAATTTCATTAACCTCGTTTACCATGAATTGGACTTCGGTATGAGTGCTGAGTGGCATTTCTTTGCAACGTCCCACCGAAAATCGCCATGTGATTGTATTCGTGGAACTGGTGACGAGAGCTGCAGCTCGAGCGAGTTAGTAGCGACCGTATGAAAATCAAATTAGAATACCACAACACTTATGAATTCTCCAAAGACTCAATAAAGTTAATAGGAAGTATCTTTTGTACAAATAAGGAACATAAAATAGAAGAAGAGACTTTGAAAGTTGGATTTTCCAATGCTTCAACCATCACCGGAACCTGTCAATGTCATTCTTATGTGCCGATTACTAATACCCATAATCTTCAGTGTAAAAATTTTTCTCTGGACGATGAATTTCAGATCCGCAACATCGTGTAGTATCAAATGAATAGTGAAATAGTCATGTCTGATGCATGCAACATTACACATGTATAAATGATCCCCCAGAAGTTGTTAATAAATTCATCTTTTTTTAAAGATAATGTGTTATAATTTGAATGTGACTCACAATTGAATTCAATCGTAGGCAATCGTTTGCAATCAGTTTATTCCGCAGACACTGAGAACCTACACTAGGCGTCGGAGATGGTACTAACCCGAGTGGAAATTCCGGTCAGGTCTTGATCAAGTTTGGATCAGGTTAGACCTGATCACTGATCAGGTGTTGATCAAGTTGACGGATCCGGTCTTGATCAGACATGGTATGCCTCTGACCAATCCGGATTTGATCAGGACGAATGGATCCGAACTTGAACAAGTGAACTGTATGAAAACCGGATGACCTATCTGTGTGTGTCAATAACAATTATCAATAATAATTAATCCAAAACAAGAGATAATTCAATTCTTTCACCGTAGGCCGCCTCTCTTAATGAATCTCTACTGTTATTACCTCTGAAAAAGCTTATTATTTTTTTTACCGATGCTGGGGATCGAACCGGGACCCTATGATTGCTAATTCTGTGCCCTAACCAATACGCTATCACACTATTACTATTGAGTAAACTGTACATTGCCTATATGATTTGTATCGGGGTATTCGTTGAATTTACGATTATTCCTGATCCCGCGGATGTGCGTGTGTATTCTCAGAGATAAAATATATTCAATTAAATTTTCATTTACTTCATTAATGAATAGTAATAATGATAATAACAATAACTCTAATAAATAATCAGACATTTGGTGATTTTTTTTCTCAAGATCACTTGCGTGTAAGGTTGATACTCCTCTAATACGTATTTACGACATCATCATCCCTCCCTTTTGTACATTTGAGAAGGGCTGGCTGTTAATTAAATTGATTAATTAAATTAAATTCATTAAATTAAATTAAATTAAATTAAATTAAATTAATTTAATCCATTTTAATTATAGTATAATGATCCTTTTTAAAGATTGAAAATAATTATTGATAATGGTTGATAAAACTTAATTTGAATAGTATAATAATAGTTGATTAAATTATCCAAAAAACTTATTAAAATTAATGTCAGGTGAACCGGATCTGAATCTAATCATTTTCTCTTCAATTGACCCCGTTCAAATTCCGATTTGATCGGAATTTGATCAAATTGGGGTTAGGCAACCGACCTCAGGGTGAGATCATGCCTACCTGATCAGAACTTGATCTGAACCCGCTTGTAGTTTTTCGGATCCGATCTGCTGGATCAGAACTTGGTCAGGTTCTCATCAGGTATCATCTGATCATGTCTACGTGATCAGAACTTGATCCGAATCCGCCTATAGCTTTTCGGATCCCATCTGCTGGATCAGAACTTGGTCAGGTTCTCATCAGGTATCATCTGATCATGTCTACGTGATCAGAACTTGATCCGAATCCGCCTATAGCTTTTCGGATCCCATCTGCTGGATCAGAACTTGGTCAGGTTCTCATCAGGCATCATCTGATCATGTCTACGTGATCAGAACTTGATCCGACCCCGCCTGTAGCTTTTCGGATCCGATCTGCGGGATCAGAACTTGGTCAGGGTCTCATCAGGCATCATCTGATCATGTCTACGTGATCAGAACTTGATCCGACCCCGCCTGTAGCTTTTCGGATCCGATCTGCGGGATCAGAACTTGGTCAGGGTCTCATCAGGCATCATCTGATCATGTCTACGTGATCAGAACTTGATCCGACCCCGCCTGTAGCTTTTCGGATCCGATCTGCGGGATCAGAACTTGGTCAGGGTCTCATCAGGCATCATCTGATCATGTCTACCTGATCACAACTTGATCCTAACCCGCCTGTAGTTTTTCGGATCCGATCTGCTGGATCAGAACTTGGTCAGGTTCTCATCAGGCATCATCTGATCATGTCTGCCTGACCAGAACTTGATCCGAACCCGCCTGTAGCTTTTCGGATCCGATCTGCTGGATGAGAACTTGGTCAGCTTCTCATCAGGAATCACCGGATCAATCGAACCTTATAAAAACCTGATCAAGTTCTGATCATGCTTCAGGTGGGCCTGAAGCAATTTCCACTCGGGAAGTCCACTCATCGCAGCACGCTGACAGCTCCGCTCTAGTCAGCCGAGCCTCATAAAAAACTCAATGTCTCAGGAACTACTGGAGAATAGAGAACGCCAATTGTACCGGCAATTCTTCGATACATACTCTATAGCATATTTTTTTTCGAATTTTTCGCTGCATGCTCTCATGATTTGATGTTAACTTTTTGATTTGTTTATTAATTAATTCATTGTAAATTCAACTTTTTCGAGTTTGGATTTTTTTTTACCGAAACTTACACATGTTTTGAATAAAAATGTTTTTTTGTACTTCTTCGATGAAATTGATACTGATCGAGTTATAATTTTTAAAAAAATTACCTACCTGGTCCAACTTACAAATTTTGATTTCGCATAATTTTCAAAAAAAAAATTGTTTTTAATAACATTTCAAGGCATGCCTGGAACACTTTTACATCATTCAATTTTTATCGGAATAGAAAAAAAGCTGATTGAAATAGTATAGAACGCCCCTAATGCTTTTTCTTTTCTTGGTACCGTCCTCAGTATCCATACTAAATTGGATTGGGATTGTTCTGTAAGGGCAGTATGATGAAGGAGAGGAGAAAGAGTAACGGGATAGGTGGCCGCATCTAGGGTAAGGGAAATCGAGCTCTGTTTCAATCGTTCAACTGTCATTTCGGGGTTGGGTTTCAAGTTGTTATTAAAACAGTATTGAATATATTCATCTCAAAAAGCAACATTAATAAGCTCCCGCTGGGTACTAAGGTTACAGTACTTTTTATCACGGACAAAAATATCACGACAAAAGAATCACGTCAAAAATATCACAAACCAAAATATCACAAACAAAAATATCACAAGCAAAAATATCACCGATAAGAATATCACAGCTGAAACATCACAAACAACAATATCACAAACGAATGGAACTCAGAAGAATGAAGTTCAGAAAGGAAGAAAGGCAGTCAGAAGAGGTCAAAAGGGTCAGAAGGGTTTTGAAATTAGAAAGAGGAATCCTGACAAATCGTTAACTGAAAAGTACTTTATTTATGACAAAATTATTTCATCATGAATGGACCACTGCTCTGAACACGTTACAATTTTAGATTAAATGCAACACCTTTCAAGAAGACGATATCGTCAGCAAGAAGATGATATCGTCAGCATTATACGACTCCACTAGAGCTTCCAGAGCGCTATCAATTACCACATACTTTCTTCGACGAGGTTCTGCAACAACGCGGTGAGCCAGTACATTGGACATCACGACCTCAGTGAGAGCGCTCATGTTGGAGCGCTTCGCCAACGATGACTCCTGTGACGAGTAAATGAATAAGCCCAAGAACGATGAGAAAAGAAAACCTAATAGACAAAACCATACCTGTCCTTTTGTCGGAACTAGTGCGAATGAACACTGAACAAACAGCCTCCTTCCACTGTCGACAACGCCATACAATAGAATTAGCATTAGCTCGAAAACGTGTATAAAGATATCCTTGATGCAACAACATAGGCTTGCCTTGTTGATTAAGAACAAACTTGAGCCCCACGTCAACGGTCTTGATGGGAACCGACTGAATCCCAGAATGATACTGATTAAAATTATCAATTCCGAAAGGAAGGCACCCAAGAGTAAACAATAACAATCCAACAATCAATATCTCGCTCACCAACTTGAGTTTTCATGGAAATAATAGGTATTTCCTGAGTTATCTGATTAATACATGAGGAGAAAGACCCGTTGGAATTAGAATTCAATTTTTATACAACGAGGAGACTTAAAGGATTATTTATGATCATTCGGACTGTGATATTTTTGTTTGTCAACATTTGGCTGTGATCTTTTTGTTCGCGGAATTTTTGATTATGATATTTTTGGTTCATGATATTTTGGTTTGTGATATTTTTGCCGTGATTATTTTGATTGTGATAAAAGGCCGTGATCGTTTGGCCGGACACCGGGCACTAATGTTTGATAGCTTTGATGGCGATTGACCACTGAAGAATGAATCATTGTCGAGAGAATAAGGAAAGGGAGAAGTTGGGGAAGTAGGAGAAATCATGGAAGGATCCTGTGAATTTTGAAATAGGTCATTCATAATGAGATTTTTTTAGGTATAGGCGATGGTCGATATAGCATTGATGAAGAGATCCAAAAGAAAAATATGGCAAGATGGCGGCCCCCACGCTTGCAGGGATGCCGATAGGATGAAGGGAGATATTTCTACTCAGCACAAATTAGGATCACAGATTTCAACAAATTAAGTGCACTCAAGTTGTAGATAACTAATATTTGAAACTGAAATGAAACAAATGAAAATATTAGCTAAAGCAGAAGACGCTAGACTAAAGATAAGGCATAGAGTGAACAAGGAACGTCAACTCAGATATTAAGCTGTACTGTTTCAAATGGGATACCCTGCATATAAGATTTGCTGACACCCCCTTCCCCTTTCTGACTGTTGCTTTTATTGGAGGGGAGGGCATATAGGGGCCATCCCTAGAAATCGGCACTCATAGCCGTTAAGATGCAGACTGTAATTGCAACGAAATGTCGGCGCAATGCTGAAACCAAACGCGGCATTTATCCGGAAACGAATGATATAATCATAGCGGCGAAAGCCTCAAAACTAAGATTATGTAAAATTTGGAGTTGAGAATTTTTGTTAAAAAATTGGTGATTAAATTTGGTCAAAAAGAAATAGGAGAATGTACTTACATCTGCTAAAATCGAGCTAACTGCTTCCTCAGTTCTTCCAGAGGCAACAACAAGCCTTGGAAGATCATCCTGAGGCGCCCCACTATTGATCTTTTCTTTAGGGTTAGACTTGAGGAGAATATGAGCATTAGCACCACCGAAGCCAAATGAACTTATACCAACGTATCCTCCCTTCCAAGGTGTCGGTTCGGTAACAACTTGTAGCTTTCCATTTGCAAGACCTTCAACACCCTCACGTGGCTCTTTATAGTGCAAATTCGGTGGAATAAGTCCGCTCTCATAGCCAATAAGAACTTTTGAAATTTGACCCATTCCACTGGCTGGCTCAGCGTGCCCAATGTTCGATTTGACTGAGCCAATCTTCAATGGTTCATTTCTCCCAGGACAGAAAACTGATTCAATTGCATTTAGTTCCTCAGGGTCTCCCACCTTCGTTCCAGTGCCATGGGCTTCAACGTATGCCACTGAAGATGGTGGTACTTTACACTCCTCATAAAAATCCCTCAGAAGGACACTTTGAATCTGACTCGATGGAAATGTAATTCCCTGTGGTTTGAAGCCGTCACAATTCGTTTTTCCATGTACAACAGTGGCATAGATACGTTTTGCATTTTTCGCTTTCTGAAGGAAGGCTACACTGATTGTTTCACTCCTTACGTAACCATTCGCACTGTTATCGAATGATTTCGATCGACCATCATGCGATAAAACACCTGGAGTAATAGTAAAGCCAAAATTAATATCCTTTGTCCTATCATTTCACTACTGATTCGAATCAGGAAAATTTCCTGATACGAAAATATATATGTGGGTAGGCAAATTCATTATATTGAATTAAAAGTGATTGCGTCTTTTATCTCGCATTTTTTTCCCGTGTGTTTTTGTCATCTTACCTAAACGAGCAAATTGGAGTGATACATTTGGATGAAGAACGAGATTAGTGCCACCTACAATGGCTGCATCACATAGACCAGTCCGAATTGCTCGGTATGCATGTTCCATAGCGAAGAGACTTGAGCTGCAGGCAGAATCGATGGTATAACTCGGTCCATGCACCCCTAACCAGTAAGAAATTCTGTTAGATAACAGAGCTCTGCTGCAGCCAATGAGACCAGCCCCGTTTATTTCCGCCTATTCAACAAGAAAAAAGAACAGTTGATATATTTTATTCAATCGATTATCAATCAAAATCGATAGATGAATAAATTATGTCAACCTCAAGTTTTTCGTAAACCCACGTCATTTCAGACTCTGAGAAACATGCACCAATAAAAACTCCAGTGTTACTTCCTCTCAGATGCTGGGGATTAACTCCAGCATCGACAATCGCTTCATAAGCATGTTCCAACGCCATTCTACACATCGGATCCATCGTGTGTGCATGCTTGAAATGAACACCAAAGTAATCTGCATCGAACTTCGATAGATTGTTGATTTTTCCTAATCTCTGCGGAATTTCCGGATGATCTAGAAGCGTCAAATATTGAATTAGTCCAATTCATTAATTGAGAATTCAAAGCTTGAAGACAGTGTGTCAATGGCAAATTCGTATCCATCGCAATTATCATACCTTGCTATTAGCATTGCTGTATGCTTATTAGCAGGAAATTACGTCGGACTTATTTTGTTGATTGTTAATTTCGGAAACTTATGAGAAAATTTTCACAGAGGTGAGAAATTTTTTATGGCGAAGTACGAATGGATTAATATTTCACAATTGATAATGTGAATGGATTGAGTGACGGAGCAGTTAGGTGATTGGTGATCAGCGATAGGTGATTGATTAGGTGATTGGCGATATCTTCGAATATAGTCGATGAGGCGGGCATATTTTCATTGTGTTTTCTGTTGAAGAGAAAAATTAGAGCTAAAAAAATACCTAAAATAAAAAAAGATCCGACGGTGTGACGCACTTGCTTGATTTGGTTTCAGGTTTGACCCCTAGCTAAGCCGAATTCCACAACAATTTTTTCATCAAATTTTTCAACTAAAAATTCTGTATAATATCCAATGGAAATTCTCACACAATTTCCAACGGAATATTTCACGTTGGTAACTTTTTGCAACAAATAATCGGTTCTTTTTTTCATGGGTAAATTAAAAAAATGCCTGTATCCATTTTTTCATCTCCTTTGGGTTTCAAAATATTCTTTCAAACGCTGATGTTGATGTAAAGTTTACTCATTTCTTGATTTTTCACTACTGAGTCGAATCTATTTTTCTCGCCCACGACATTATATAGGCACGCACATATATGAATTTCGTCCATTTACCTAACTTCCACCGACGATCATCGTTAGTTATGAGATCCACTTTATTCATAAGATTATCTCGGAATTCATTCAAATTATTCGACTCTGGAAACCTCCCCGAGATGCCAGATATTACGATCTCATCATCCGGTTCGAGTGATACTTTCCGATAAGGATCGTAGGGACGAGGCTCTTCCGATCCCATTTTCACTATTCTTGAAACAAACTCGGAAAACACTATTAGTTCACCAAAGATTTGCAATCCAACAAATATAATAAGTTAAAGCTTCACTTAGAATTGCACTTTTCACGTGTGAATAAAGGGAAATTATTCTTTGAGGACGTTGCGGACTCTCAACAATCAAACCCTCATGTGTTAGTGATCGATTCGAGGGAAACTAATACAGTAACTCAATCCAGGAAGTGACAGCAGTTTTTGTAACAGCGCTTGTTCCCACGGTCTCATTTTTTTACCCCAAAAAGTAGCTGTTCTCAAGGGTCAACTGAGCACTATATCAGTGAATATTCAAGATTTTTGAATAAATGGCGGCGAATTGATATCCAACAATTTGACTCAAGACGTATTGAATATTCAAGAATTATGATTGTTATGAGTCATTTGAATTATTCAGGTGTTTCTGAACCATTCTTAGTATAATTTGACGTCATTCCTCGGCGGTATGTATTGTCAAGATATGTTGTATCACATCGGCTAATGACTCATCGAGCCGGTGACAGTGCGAGTAGGGCAGACAGTACAGTGACCCGGGTAAAGAAATCTCAGTCTTTCACAGAAATTTGAAAGATCATCGAAAACTTCTAAGACGATTTCAAAGATTTTCTTTTGGCGCCGAAAGATCTTTCGGAAGTCGACAATCCATTTTTGAAAGATCTTTTAGGCGAAATTCAGGAAGATTCTCGAAAGCCGAAAATTCGGTTTGGAAAAACGTCTTCCAAAGATAATATGAAGAGATCTTTTGAAACGAAAAAATCATCTCTGAGCGATGATTTTTTAAAATGAATGGCTTTTTGAGCCGCAACATTTGAGCCTCATGAAATTTGGGCCTTACACCGTAAAAATTTGTCTTTCAAGTTCACAGCCTAACGTTGCGCATCTTGGTTTTAACGCTCGAAACCCTGTTTGGAACTGGTGATGTATGAGTTTTTTAACGATTATTATTATTTTATTGACGTCTGACTCAGAACCCTCGGTGAAGCCTCGCCTACTCGTGAGCTTACGGGGAGTTCATTTTTTTTACAAAGGTTTTTATCCAAGGCAGGTTGTTATTTACATTGTGACAAAGGTCACTTAAAAACCCGAATTAATTATTCGGAAAAATATGTCATTAGAATAGAATAGAAAATGTGCGGCTGGTCACTTAAAGCGCCCAGAGTCACCTAAATCATACGATCTTTTGTAACTTCCGCCTAAGTTTTGGTCAGTCACACAGCCCCACCCCTGTTTCTCACTAGGCTAATAAGGCTGGTGACAGCCGCTTGTTGTAAGTCCTCTGGTTCCAGGAAAGCCTGGCCCCAGATTTTATAGTGACGGAGTGCTAATAGGGGGCATTCACATAAAATGTGGATGACGCCCTCCTTATCGCCTCCGCACAGTCTGCAGTCTTCTTGTTCTGCAAGTTTCATCTTGAACAGATGAGCTCTGAGAGCTGTATGACCCGTAAGGAGCCCTACTGCTACCCTCAGATCCCCTCTGTGCAACTCCAGAAGCTTTCTGGTCCTAACTCTTAGTTGCCCTCTCATAAGCAGTTTCGCTTGTCTGCAGGTCGCAACTTTCTCCCAACGCCTGACATGATCCCGCTGGAAATGATCTTTAATAAGAGTTTTTCCCACTGCGAAGGGCATGCCAAGCAGGCCGTGTGAGGGCACACTTTCTGTACCCTCCTTGGCCAGCTTATCTGCCTCTTCATTACCCAGAATCCCATGGTGACCTGGCACCCAGGTTACGGTGACCCGGTTGTTTTTACCCAGTGTGTCCAATGCCTGCATGCATTCCCACACCACCTGTGACTCTGTAGTGGGTTTTTCCAGGGCGTGTATCGCCGCCTGGCTGTCACTGCAGATGAATATTTTCATCTTTTTTGTGTCTCTCGCGTTCAGATACTCTGCACACTTAAGTATGCCCAGCATCTCTGCTTGAAAGACGGTTGAATGATGGCCCAGCGGAAAACTCTCTCCGAAGCCATCTTTCAGACGGTAGATGCCTGCCCCAAAACTTTCATTGAAGCCAGAGCCGTCCGTAAACCAGTAGTCCTCTCTTGGTCCTGGTTTACGTTTCGAGTCTAGCCACTCCTGTCTGGGTGGTATACTCGTTCTGAAAGTTTTCCTGATCTGATACTTCCTAGGAATCCTATCCGTCTTACCTATGAAGGGTCGATCATTGATTAGGCTAAGCCTTGTATGGCCTTGGCCCGTCATCTTCCATTCTAGTTGGCACCTTAGTCTATATGCAGTTGTGGTAGCACAACTCACAACCCTAAGGTCGAGGGGTGGGATACTGAGTGCTATTTCTAGCGCCTCAGTAGGTGTCGATTTCATGGCTCCTGTTGCAGCCCTCAGGAAGGTTCCCTGTAGGCTTTTCAACAGGTTCCTTGTTTCCGTCTTACTCACCCTCGGCCACCAGACGACCGCAGCGTATAACAGTCTCGGAAGTAGAACTATTTGGTAGAGCCAGAGCATCATTTTAGGATTGAGTCCCCATGTCCTGCCCACAGCTCTCCTGCATGCCCACATAGAGGCAAACACTTTATTTCTCTGAGTACAGATATGTTCTTTCCAGCTGAGTTTATTATCCAGGAGGACACCCAGATATTTCACTCTGCTGGTGTAGTTAATCTCCGAGCCATTTAGCTTCAGAGGTTGGATCTTTTCCAGTTTATAATTTCTGGTGAAAACCAGGATTGTTGTTTTGGCTGGATTTACCGATAGGCCAGTTACCCTGCACCAGTCCTCAATGATATTGAAGGCTGTTGCCATCAGGTCCCTTAGCACCCTCAGAAATCCGCCTTTCACAACAACTGCCACATCATCGGCGAAACCGATGACGTGGAAGCCGGCCTCACTTAGTTGATTTAGAAGTCCATCTACAACCAGGTTCCATAGCAGGGGCGAGAGAACTCCCCCCTGCGGACAGCCCCTAGTCGGACGTCCCTCCACACATGCCCTCCCATGTCCTGCCGACAGTCTTCTGCTTTTCAGCATGTTTTGTGTCCAAGCAATGATAGTCTTGGACACCTGTCGTTCTTCCATGGCTTTTTCTATAGCCGGATTCGAAGTGCTATCAAAAGCCCCCTCAATATCCAGAAAGGCGCCTATGGCAAAACCCTTGACCGCCAGTTGTCCCTCAATCAGTTCCAACAGGTGATGTAAGGCGGTATCTGTTGATCTTCCCTCCCTGTGTGCATATTGACAGGGGGAGAGGGGTCTGTCAGCCAAGGGCCCGGCCTTGATATGTCTATCCACCAGCATCTCCAGGGTCTTCAGGATGAAGGATGTGAGGCTTATAGGACGGAAGTCTTTTGTTTTTATATAACCGGTTTTTCCCGGCTTGGGAATATACTAGCTCTGAGTATCTTGGTTAGGGGTCCCGTGATAGTCTCTATCCCTTCCTGTAATAGGGCTGGATAGATCCCGTCTGGTCCCGGTGCCTTGAAGGGTTCAAAGGTTTTGATGGCCCAATTGACCCTCCAGGGCTGCACTACTTTATTTGCCAATGCCCAATCATGGGTTTCGTAGACATCCCTCTGATTTTGCATCATAGATATGTCATTAAAGAAAATTTATATAGGAGAGCATCGTCTCTCGTTCTTTTACCCGTATATCCGCAGAAATTTAAAAATAATAGCGAACCAGGTAAAAATTTTCAACGCTGACGACTGGGCCAGACATGAGCCAATTTTCCGCCGTCTGTTGGGATGTCATACCGGATCGATGCTGTTGCAGATGCTGACCCAGGCCTGGTTCGATCCTCGGTTGAATGTTGATGAATTGAGCCTCGTATGGTCAGTCTTGCACCATGTTTTTTTTTATTGTCAGACTGGGGCTGTTTTTGAGTTCCAAGCCAAGCCTTTTTCTGCCGCCATAATCGATTTTCACTATTCTATATGTTCGTGTTGTACACATGTGTTCTAAATCAAATCCTTCTAGCTTGAATTAAATCAAACGAGACCCAAAGGATCGTTTGGTACGTGAATGTATATGGCGAATCCGCCAATTCTGTACACCCAAGAAAAAGAATCCTTAATTTGAGATTTCAAATATCTTAAATGCATGAAGAAATTCGAAAGTCCCAAGTTAAGATATTTTAAATTCTCAAGTTCAGACATTCAAAAATTTCAATTTGGACAGTTTAATTTAGGGCGGGTTGTACATGGAGAATTCAATACAACAGTCCCCCCTCCCCCACTCCCAATTTTGAGTTTTTCAAGTACATCTCCTAAACTAAGGGAAATAGCGAATTTTTACTGAGAAATTGGGGGAGGGGGGGGTTACATCGAGAATTCAATACAATCCCCCCTTCCCCCCAATTTGGAGTTTTTCAAGGATATTCCTCGATAAACGAGACCCTCCCAAAAATGAATTACATTTTCCAGAATTGAAAATTTTTTTTCTAAAATTTAGAATATTTTGGTTTAGAATTGATCGCATATTTGCTGATTAACTTTACACCATTTTTTTTTAAACTTAGAAAATGATTCCACTTCAGATCTTAGAAAAATGAAGATTAGAAACCATTGTTTCTAGAATTAAGAAACATTTTTCTAAATTTTAATAAGTTTTTTCTCTGTGTATGATTAGTATTTGTCTGAATTTAGCAAGATCTAGAATTAGTAGGTTTTGAAAGTCTCAAGTTGAGACATTCGAAAGTCTTCAGTTGAGACTTTCAAAAGTCTCAAGTTGAGATCATCAGTTTCAACTAAAAGGTTGGTTTTTTGGGTGTATATGAAAAATTGCCTTGAAATTTTGAAAGTTTTTCTCTATTTTTCATCGAAAAGTATAGTCCAAATGAAGGAAAATGTGTGCAACCGGAGATATCAATTATTGGTGGAGATATCGAAGATTCTTTTTTTCTTCCAATAATTTTTTTTCTTGAACTTTGATTACGAACCACTCTGGACAACAAAAAAATTTTGAACCCATAGATTTCGTCGGAACTTTTCTCAAATTTTCGAAAAAAAAATTATTTTTCATGTATCTATACATTTTGGCTTGGAAAACTCAAAAAAGAAGCTTCAAACTACCATGTGGCCTCGTTCCCCAAACTTCTTTTTATTTTTTTTATTTTCACCATGAAGTTTAGAAAATTGCTCAACCAAAACTATTTTTAATTTTGCTGCTTGCATCGATCCAGGGGTGAAATACAGGGAA